TGGTGGTAGGTGTTACGTGTGGGGTTAGGTGTTCAGTGTGATGCGTAGGTGTTACGTGTTGGTAGGTTTTTACATGTGAGCGGGGTGTTACGGTGTGCTGGGTGTTACGTGTGTGGTGGGTGTTACAGTGTTCCTATGTGATACGGGTGTTCCCTCGTTCAATATTAGGGTCCTAAATGCTAACTTTTTTTTTGGACGATTTTGGATATTATACACGAATTATTTTTTTAGGGGAGTTTTGGGCCCCAAAAATTTTCCCCATAAATAAAAGTAATCTGATGAAAATTAAACATAACATTGTATTTAATTTTCTTATAGAAAAAGCTAGTCTATATTTTTTTTGGCCCTCAACGGTGCCTCTTCAGCGGATACAAAATGTGAGATAAGTTTAGTTTTTGTAAGGAGTTGTGTTTCTGGGTGAAGAACAAACGTAAACGTCAGTGTATGTGTTCATTGAGTTATTATTTAAAAAAAATTTTTTCTTACACTTTATTGGTTTTTTTGTATGAAAAATAATCCTGAAAAAAGATGGGAAAAATTTCCCAAGGTTTGTGATTTCTACATTATCTTTCCTTTGAAAAGTGAGAAATCCGAAAAGCGCTTGAAAGTTCGCTATTTTTTTCACTGGGGTTTATTTTGCATATTGTGATATCTGTTTACTGTGATTTTATTGTGATATTGCATGCAAGGTTTACTGTATTGTTGTGTTAGGTTCCTTTCTACACCCCGATGTAAAAGACTACAGCAGGAGCTATGAGACTTTTCCGGAGCCATGTGCAGTTTTCTGGGGGGTATGGGGTTTGATGCTGGCATCTCTCAGCGGCTTGTACTGGACTCCCCACTTCCCTCACCCTCTTCAATAACACACTCATCGGGTCTTTGAACGCATCAAAGAGTTCCTTGAACCCGAAGGCTCCTGACCTCCAGACATCCTGGCCTACGCCTCGGGATGCTCAGCGGGGATCCTGACGAAGGTGGGCGTGACTAAGCTCCACAGGACCTAGGGAGCCCAAGATATGCCCAATTTTTCTCACACAATACAGGTAAATATTAAATTTTGCGAAGGGGGTTTTAAAATAGTACGAAATTCAACCCAAAAAGAATTAAAAAATAATAAGACAGAAGTGAAAAGAATCACACATTTATAAAGACAACAAACCCACCCACACACACACACAACAAAAACAAAAAAAAACCCAAACAACAAAAATCAAAACCCAACAAAAACCCCCCCACAAAAAACCACACCAACACCCCACACACACAAACCCCCCAAACCAACCTTTTAAGACAAATTTAATCTTATGTGTAAAAAGCTTTTGTAAGAGCTTTTGGGAGGAGTTTAACCCACCTGCCCAACGGTGACCACAAACACACCCACCCCTTTGGCAGTACTGTACGTTGTTGTCAACAGGGTCAGGAAGTTGCTTCCGTGTGGAGTTTAGTAAATTCCCTTAACTTACATCCTTTTATTCCCCCCAAACCCCACCCCATTACTCTCCCGTACCTGATCCTTTTCTACCTCTCCCAGTACTTTTCCACTTTTCTCACCCTCCCAGATCTGCTTCAAGTCCTTTTTTGCCTCCCCCCAATACCCTTCCAGCATCCTTCATCTGACCCCTCCCAGAATTGCTTTAGCATCCTTCATCTGACCCTCCAAAAACGCTTCCCGCTCCTTCATCTACCTTCCCCGAATACTTTCCGCATCCTTCACTCCTCTCCCCCGAAAACTGCTTCCACATCCTTTATCTGACCCTCTCCCAGAATGCTTCAGCATCCTTCATTTACCTCTCCCAGAATATGCTTCCGCATCCTTCATTGACCTCTCCCAAAAATACTGCTTCCACTCCCTTTATCGCCTCTCCAGAATACTGCTTCCAGGGATCCTCTCTACCCCTCCCCAAAAACTGCTTCCCGAACCTTTATCTACCTCTCCCCGAATAACCCTTCCACATCCCCCATCTAAAATCTTTCCCTTTTGTCCTCCCCCCACATCATTTTCAAATAAATTCCCCGCACCTTTCCAAATTACCTTCCCGGGGAATACTCCCACATCCTTTCAAAATTAAAAAAAAATAACTTGCTTTTTAAACATCTTCAAAAATTTAAAATTTCGAATTCTGGCTTCCACTCCCCCCTTTTTTTGGGGTCGTGAATGTATTGTGTGGGTGGTATCCGGGGACAAAATTATCAAATGCTTGAAAATGAGGGGCTTTCTTTCAGCTGCATTGAGTAGCTATGGTATGTATAAGTTGCATCATGTCTTGTAGAAATAAAGATTTTTTTTATTACTTTAAATTATTTTATCATGAGTTCAGTAATAAGTATAAAAACCCCCATAGTTCCCTATACACTAACACCAAGAATACTATAACCTGAATAAAAAAAAATTGAATCTAAATGTATATTCGGTACATGTATATTTACTGATATAGGAACTGTAAAAAACGGATTGAACAATAAACAGTTTTTTTCGGGTTAGAAAAGGACATTCCTTTGGGGTTGTGACAATCCAGTGGTTGGGAAGGCAGACTGTATTCTCACCCCCCCAAGTTCGAGCCCCCAAAAAGACTTGTGGATATTTTGATGTATATACCCATTTGTATGGTTGTGGGGTCGGCCCCCCATGAGTTGGTCAGCAGAGGCTGGGGGGACGGTGGGGGGGGGCTGTCCCCTTTTGTGTCGGGGGCCCCTTGTTAAATGGTACTCTAAGGTAAGGTTGTTAGTAACTGTTCTAATTCCCCCTTACACACACACACACCACAACACAACTACCACACCACACAGGGAGGGAGAGAAAGGCCCTAGTAGCAATCAGCAAGGAGGGGGGGCCGGGGCTTGAATCGCCCCCCTGAAACCCCACAATTGGTGTTTTACACCAACAACACAAACACACACAACCACACACACACACAAAACCCCACTACACACACACGCACATACGCACACACCACAAACAGATCCACAGGTCCCCCCCCTCACGGCCCCCCCCAAACCACAGTGTTGGAAAGGAAATGAAGGTATGGTCACAAACCTGTGGAATAACAAATAATGGGAGGGTGGCATGAAAGAGTAAAAGAAGCTCCCCGGGGGACATCATAGCTCCACAGAAAACCCAAACTTACAGTATGTAACAGATGCCATCTTTTCCCCCCGGGATACCAACCCGGGAAAAAACAGGGGAACAGGGGGGTGGGGGAGTGGCGTTGTGATCAAAAATCGCTGGAATTTTTATGAGCTGGAGGGGGAGGAACGCGGAAAGAAAGTGATTTTCTAGCGGGAACACTTTACTTGGGGTCCCAAGGTGGTAAAAGCGGTGTATAACCCACCACAGAACACAGGGGCCCGGAAGAGTACGACGAGACAATAGAGCGTGGTTGACACACTGGCTAGGTGGCCCAAAAGCCATGCAGCAGGGGAAAGCTCCCGATCATGGGTGACTTTAACCCCAAGGGAAACGATTGGGAAACTTTGGGCCCACATGGGGGCCAAAATACATGAGGGGGTAAGTGATGGGGGTGGAATGGAAAACTTCAAGTGCCAACACTAAAGGGGCACTACAAAAAGAGAGGAGAGGTGAACCCGCAAAGGCTGGACTTAGTATTCACCTTGAGTAGGGAGATATCGAGGGCATCACATATGAAGACCCCCTTTGGGGGCCCTGCCAAAGTGGTTTTAATTCGAATACACAGTAGAGCGATGGAGGGGGGAAAAACAGGAAGGCCAGGAGAATGAAGCCAAAATACAAGAAGGGGGCTACACAGGGTGAGGAACACCTGAAGGGGTTCATGGGGCAGAGAACGGCAGGGGAAACCGTTAATGGTGTGGAAAATGTAGCAACAAAATGCAAGGAGGTGAGGAGAGGTTTGTACCCAAGGGAAAAGGGAAAAAAGAAAAAGCCAGGGATGAGCCCATGGTTTCCCAAAGGTGAGGGAGGCAAAAACCAAGTGGTAGGGGAAAGGAAGAATTTTAGAAGGAAAGGACCCGAGAAAAAGGGAACAGTGTAGGCCCGAAAAAGAATATGCACAATAAGAAGGGAGGCCCAAGCAATTGAAAATGACTAGCAGCGAAAGCCCAAAAGACCCCCCAAAATGTTTTTACATCCCCATCAGGAGGAAAACAACAGTCAAGGACCGGGGAATCAGGCTAAGGAAGGAAGGAGGAGAGACAACAAGAAATGACCGTGAAGTATGTGAAGAACTCAACAAGAGATTCAAAGAAGTGTTCACAGAGGAGACAGAAGGGACTCCAGAAAGACGGAGAGGTGGGGCACACCACCAAGTGCTGGACACAGTGCACACACCGAGGAAGAAGTGAAGAGGCTTCTGAGTGAGCTAGATACCTCAAAGGCAATGAGGCCAGATACATCTCCCCATGGGTATTGAGAGAGGGAGCAGAGGCGCTATGTGTACCCCTAACAACAATATTCAATACATCTATCGAAACAGGGAGATTGCCTGAGGCATGGAAGACAGCAAATGTAGTCCCAATCTTTAAAAAAGGAGACAGACATGAAGCATTAAACTACAGACCAGTGTCACTGACATGTATAGTATGCAAAATCATGGAGAAGATTATCAGGAGAAGAGTGGTGGAACACCTAGAAAGGAACGATCTCATCAACAGCAGCCAACATGGTTTCAGGGAAGGGAAATCCGTGTCACAACCTACTGGAGTTCTATGACATGGTGACAGCAGTAAGACAAGAGAGAGAGGGGTGGGTGGATTGCATTTTCTTGGACTGCAAGAAGGCGTTTGACACAGTTCCACACAGAGATTGGTGCAAAAACTGGAGGACCAAGCAGGGTAACAGGGAAGGCACTACAATGGATCAGGGAATACTTGTCAGGAAGACAGCAGCGAGTCATGGTAGTGGCGAGGTGTCAGAGGGGGGCCCTTGTGACCAGGGGGGGTCCCGGGGGGTCGCCCTAGGCCCAGTGCTGTTTCTGGTATTTGTGAACAAATGACGGAAGGAATGACTCTGAGGGGCCCCGTTTGCGATGACGTAAGTGATGAGAAGAATTTTCACTCGATAAAGACCAGGCAGAACTAAAAAGGGGTTTGGACGGGTGCGACCGGTCCAGCAATTGGCTCCGGGAGTTCAATCCCACCAAGTGCAAAGTCTGAAGATTGGGGAAGGGCAAAGAAGGCCGCAGACGGAGTACAGTCTAGGGGGTCAGAGACAAACAAACCTCATCAAGGAAAAGATCTTGGGGTGAGTATAACACCAGGCACATCTCCTGAAAGCGCACATCAACCAAATAACTGTGCAGCATATGGGCGCCTAGCAAAACCTCAGACAGCATTCCGACATCTTAATAAAGGAATATTCAGGACCCTGTACACCGTGTTACGTTAGGCCCAATATTGGAGTATGCGGCACCAGTTTGGAACCCACACCTAGCCAAGCACGTGAAGAAAACTAGAGAAAGTGCAAAGGTTTGCAACAAGACTAGTCCCAGAGCTAAGAGGTATGTCCTACGAGGAGAGGTTAAGGGAAATCAACCTGACGACACTGGAGGACAGGAGAGATAGGGGGGACATGAAACGACATACAAAATATGAGAGGAATTGACAAGTGGACAAAGACAGGATGTTCCAGAGATTGGACACAGTAACAAGGGGACACAGTTGGAAGCTGAAGACACAGATGAATCACAGGGATGTTAGGAAGTATTTCTTCAGCCACAGAGTAGTCAGTAAGTGGAAATAGTTTGGGAAACGATGTAGTGGAGGCAGGATCCAACATTGCTTTTAAACGAGGTATGATAAGCCACGGCTCAGGGAGGTACCTGTGCGTCATAAAGAGACGGGGGCCCGGCTCGGGCGACCCCCCCCAAACCCCAATAGGTAGTACACCCCCCACAATAAAACACAAAACACACACAACACAACCACACACACCACACACAACACCCAAACACCAAACACAACAGGTCAAGTGTCTATCGACAAGTGCCTTTGACAGATAGTAACTACACACAAACCCTTCTCTCAAGAATTTTACTAATTTTTATTTTTCTCTACCACTAAGGTTGTCAATTCCCTTAAATTTATGCTTTCAAATTTTATATCTTAACATCCCAAGATATTAGAATGTTTTCATTGCGGAACTTTGTAATATAACCCGACAGTCTTTTGTTTTTTAAGAAGACAATGTTTAGAGTTACATCACTTGCGTGGGCTGTTGCAGGGATTGTTGCAGAAGGACTACTGGCCAGCCCACGTACTGACGGTGGTCTTCCTGATGGCTGACCTGGTGGTGGTAGCGCGTCTCAAGTTCTCAATCCCTGACAAGAGGATGACTCCAAGTGCCGTCCATCGGGCCCTTTGGCAGCCGCATGTTGTCCTCATACTGGTGAGAAAACTTTATTTACACAGTTACTGAGGCACATTTGTAGGTTCCACCCATACAGGAGTGAAACCTTGTTATCTTGGTACTCGAGGTTATTGTAGCTGCAGTCATACAGGAGAGAAACCCTGTTATCTTGGTACTCAAGGTTATTGTAGCTGCAGTCATACAGGAGAGAAACCCTGTTATCTTGGTACTCGAGGTTATTGTAGCTGCAGTCATACAGGAGAGAATCCCTGTTATCTTGGTACTCGAGGTTATTGTAGCTGCAGTCATACAGGAGAGAAATCCCTGTTATCTGGTACTCGAGGTTATTGTAGCTGCAGTCATACAGGAGAGAATCCCTGTTATCCTGGTACTCGAGGTTATTGTAGCTGCAGTCATGCAGGAGAGAAACTCTGTTATCTTGGTACTCGAGGTTATTGTAGCTGCAGTCATACAAGAGAGAAACCCTGTTATTTTGGTACTCGAGTCACACCTGTAGTTCTCAAACAAAAGAGAAACCCAAACTTACCCTAGTACTTAATGATACCTAATATTAGTGATACTTGGAATCAGTGACTCCTAGAGTCATCATGGTACTAGACACAACCATTCTGGTACTAGTTATGTGACTAAAGGTTATTTCGAGTATTATGACTTTATGGTTTGAGGTACAACGAAACAGATGTTTATAGTTAATGAAGATAATTAATGGAAGTAATCAGTGCTAATTGAAGATGAACTATAATCTTAATAAATATGGTTATATCTAAGTCTGTTGGATGTGAATCTGTCTTCTCTTTCCATTATCTCTCTCTCTTTCTTCTTCCCAGTTGTCTCCCACTTTCCTCCTTTCTCCCCCCACTTGCCTTCCACTTCAATTTCTGCCTTCTGCACCCACTTCCATCCCTATCTTCCTCCCTCAAGTGCCTTCCACTTTACCCTCTCCTTCCTCACTCACTTTCCTTCATTCCTCCCTCACTCCTTAACTTTCCTACCGCTATGTTCCCTTATTTCTTCACCCACTTCCCTTTCTCCCTGGCCCTATATAACTCACTTATTTACCCCTATCTCACCTATGGAATTTGTGCATGGGGCTCAACAACAATGAACCATCCCAGACCACTAATCACCCAACAAAAGGCTGCAGTCAGAATGATAACAAATTCCCACTACAGACAGCAGACTCCACCAATATTCAAAACTCTAAACCTACTCACCATACAAAACATCCATACTTATTACTGCACCTATTACATACATAGAACACTTAACTCTGACATAAACCCTCCCCTCAAACATCTCCTCACCAACCTCAACAGAACACATGACCATAACACAAGACACAGATCACTCTTTGACGTTCCTCGTGTCCATCTCCACTCATGCAAAAAACTCAATGCACATAAAAGGCCCTAAAATCTGGAATTCATTACCTGTGATATAAAAGAAACACTGTCTGTTTATAAATTCAAGTCTCTTCTCAAAAATCACTTACTCACCCACAACTAAATAAATATTGAATAATTGTATCTCATAAATTGTATCTCATATATGTATCTCATTATTGTATCTCATAAATGTCAACCTGTGACCCAATCAAACTTTGTTACTATTTAACTTCATTACCTAACAGAATACTCCATTCTACTGATTACACAGCAACACAGTAAGTGACCATATGACCTGTCTTTGTAATACTCACATGTACTAAATTGTTATCTGTTTACAATAATTTTTGTACCACTGAATATATCATTGCTTAGTTAATCTTAAGTTAATTTTAAGCCTGCCCATAATGCTCTGCATACAAGGGACTTTGACATGTTACACTTTAAAAATTGTATTCCTTGTACTTCTCTGTATCAAGTTCAAATAAATAAATAAATAAATAAATAAATAAATAAATAAATAAATAAATAAATTCGTTTTTCGCGTCAGTTCCATTCAACACAAAAAAGCAACACATTGGAGAATGAAACTTACAACGACGTTTAGGTCTAAGTCGGACCGAAACGTTGTCATAACTAAAAGAGTTATGACGCAAACGACATTGATTCTGACATAAACAACGTTGATTCCGACACAAATAACACTGGTTCCGAAACTAATAACATCAGTTCTGACACAAATAATATTGGTTCCGACACTAATAATACTGGTTCCGACACTAATAACATCAGTTCTGACACAAATAACATTGGTTCCGACACTAATAATACTGGTTCCGACACTAATAACATCAGTTCTGACACAAATAATATTGGTTCCGACACTAATAATACTGGTTCCGAAACTAATAACATCAGTTCTGACACAAATAACATTGGTTCCGACACTAATAATACTGGTTCCGACACTAATAACATCATTCTGACACAAAATAATATTGGTTCCGACACTATAATACTGGTTCGAAACTAATAACATCAGTTCTGACACAAATAACATTGGTTCCGACACTAATAATACTGGTTCCGACACTAATAACATCAGTTCTGACACAAATAATATTGGTTCCGACACTAATAATACTGGTTCCGAAACTAATAACATCAGTTCTGACACAAATAATATTGGTTCCGACACTAATAATACTGGTTCCGACACTAATAACATCAGTTCTGTCACAAATAACATTGGTTCCGACACTAATAATACTGGTTCCGACACTAATAACATCAGTTCTGACACAAATAATATTGGTTCCGACACAAATAACATTGGTTCTGACACAAATAACATTGGTTCTGACACAAATAACATTGGTTCCGACACAAATAACATTGGTTCCGACATTAATAACATTGGCTCCGACACTAATAACATCGGTTCTAACACTAATAATATTTGTTCCGACACAAATAACATCAGTTCTGACACAAATAACATTGGTTCCGACACAAATAAAATTGTTTTCGCCACAGATAACACTGGTGGTGATCGGGACAACGTGTGGAGTGTTGTGGACCTTCCAGTTCCTGCTGGTGGAGGATGTGGCTCTGCAGTGGGACCCAGACTTCCCACACTTGAAGTTGCTGCTGGGACTGGTGCTGGGGGTACAGTGCTTCCTGGCGGAGGTGCCATTCTTCTTCCTAGCAGGTGATTGGCTACACTGATGGATTAAATAAGTGTGGACCTGCGTAGCGTCATTCTGATGACGTTATGTCAATCAGTGACTTTTGCAGTTCAGTACAATAATAATAATAATAATAATAATAATATAATAATAATAATAATAATAATAATATAAAAATAATAAAATAATAATATTAATAATATAATTCATGTTAAGAGCTAAACCCATATGGGTCAGTCGGTGCAAGATGTGTTGTAGACTTGATCCTCCGTCTACTGAGCGCCAGGTAGACGCAATTCCTATTTGTACTCAGATGATCCCAATACAGAGAGTATATGATGCTGATGAGGGAAAAATGAGGTAATCTGACCCTTCGTCTCTCAGCAAGTGTTCGGATCCCTGGTCTTGACTCTCACGTTCAGAATAACAGCGTTTCGTTTAGAACATAAGAAATGAGACACTTGTGCAGTATTTTTGTATCTTTATTGGGGAAACGTTTCGCCAACCAGTGGCTTCTTCAGTTCAATGATCAAGAGTTTGAGGTAATCAGTCCCTCAGCCTGGAGTCAATGTGCTTATTACATCAGGCTTAGGCACTGATAACCTCAAACTCCTCCTCATCTTCCATCTTTCTCTGGATTTGCACGTGTGTCTAATTTTTCATCTAAGATACCCAGATTTTACACGTGTCTAATTCTTTACCAGGTCGCATCATCAAGAGGATCGGTCACGCTAACGCCTTTCTCATCTCCCTGGTGGGGTTTGCTGTGAGGCTCAACCTCTACTCCGTCATTAGCAACCCCTGGTGGTTCCTGCCAGCTGACATCCTTCACGGCATCTCCTTTGGCATCTCCTACCCCTGTTTAACCTCATACGCCAGTGTAATCTCTCCCCCGGGAGCTGCTGCTACCACACAAGCCATTTTTGGAGCTGCGTTCTTTGGTGGTAAGGAAGTCGAAGTTGAAGCGTGTCCTTTGATGAATAAATGGGGAAATAAATCACGAACGAGTGAGGGCTTTTATCCAATGCAAATGAGGCTTAAAATTCACAGGGAAGCGAGTTCTAGGAGTCACTTGCCATGGGTTCAAGACTCAACCGTTCCGTGGTTTGTTCACAATTGTGTTAATACGATTTTGTGCGCCATGGATTAGGAAATTAGTGTCTAATCACTTATTACAGGAGAGCCCAGCATATACAGCATCGTCTTCTCGGTGTTCCACGCTTTCCTTGGCTCCAAATTGTGGCATTGTTCATAATGTTCCACCCGCCGGTGACAATCGCCGACGGGTGGGGGGGGGTGAACATAATTGAATCAAACGGCTCAATCTGAAGTCAACAAAACGTGAAACCCTGGAAACTATGTTAGTTGTATATGTAAGACCCTCTTGTACCTGCAAGAATAGAACTGTCCTCATAGTGTTCACTAATCGCTACTAGGGCCTCTCTCTCCCTGCTCCATGAGCTTAATCATACCTCGTCTTAAAGCTATGCATCGTTGCTGCCTCCACTACATCACTTGCCAGACTATTCCACTTCCTGATAACTCTGTGACTGAAGAAATACTTCCTAACATATCTTTGATTCATCTGAGTCTTCAGCTTCCAATTGTGACCCCTTGTTTCTGTGTCCCGTCTCTGAAGAAGCTTACACTGTGGGCGAAACGTTGCAACAATAAAGATTCCCAACTATTGCACACAGTCATAATCTTTTTTGCAGGTACTGGCTTGGGCGGCCTAGTCGGTGGGCGGTTGTTCCAGGAACTGGGCGGCCGCAAAGCTTTCTTGACTGTGGGAGTCTTCAGCGGCGTCTACGCTCTTGTCTTCATAGCGACGCATATCCTCTTGAAGCGTCTGTGTCCTGCTAATGCAACGCGCGGTACGTATATACGGTACCGAGTGAATGTGAAAGAGGTATACAATACCGACAGGTTGATAAGACATTTCTGCAACAGTTAGGTATTTTTATTCTGAAACGTATCGCCTACACAGTAGGCTTCTTCAGTGTTCTCCTGAATGTTTATTCTGAATCTAATCTGAAGATGTTTGAAACTCTGAAACTTCTGAAACACATTCACAATTAATAACTTTTCAAAGTTAATCTGCTGCGTATATGCGGTATCTCCAACTTTATTTTGACTCGTGTTTCTCGTTGTGTAGGCTGAAATATCTGTCGCAAACTATGATTCTTTTTCCTCTTTCTTCAGATTCTACTTTTCTTTCAATTGTCACTGCAGTATTTTGAATGAAATCTTTAATTTTCGTAGCCTGAAGCCAGATGACGTGACAGAGTTGCTAATCATTACTGCCAAGAGGTTAGGTAACGTTTGTCAGGAAACAGAACAAGTCTTTCCTGACGCAGGTCTACTTTCTGACGTGGTCATCTGACCGAGCCTTCCACTATCAATAGCTGCGATACTAACTGGCTCAGTGTTTCTGGGGACTGCCCATTGCTATATTATTTGTGTCTTCGAAGTTTCCCGCATGAGACTATGATCATCCGGAATTGATGGTGCGTCGAAGGTCATTCCAAACTCAAGCATATATATCAAGCTTAAGTAATTCCCATCTGTAATGACTCGTACCCCATTTCAACGCACTTGTGTGTTGTCTTCGCTGCTGTAACTAGTAGATTCTGTGGGTTAAAGAGACCTGGACGATCTCTCGTAAATGCACGGGTATTTTGGTTCCAATTTCTACTGCATGATTCCCCGTGTTTCTTTGGCGGCTCGGATATTTACAAGAACAGAAAGGCATAATACTCTGACTGGTACAGTACACAAGCTTCTCCCTTCTATGTGCAGTTTAATTGTGTATTATTTACAATATTCATAGATTCTCTTTCCCCCCTGATTCAGGGGATGACGATGAAGACAGTGTTATCTCTGTTTCCTATAAACTGAGCCAGGCTTTAGGCCTGATTCGTATTGCTTCTGACTCCCTTTTTTCACATTCCAGATGTCGACAGCGAATCAGCATATGAGGAAGGAATCAGGGAAAAGAGCGTGGAAGAGGAGGAAGTCACGAGCAAGGAAGGAGAAGATAAGGAAGAGGCAGATAAGGTGGAAATAGAAGAGGTGGGATTAGTGGAGAGAAAGTCCCATGTCTCCCCCAGCGAGAGTTCCTAATGATACACTAGCTGAAGGGGACAATAACAACCTGATTGGCCAAAAACCAGCCTCAACCACTCCCTCCGCTGAATGACTCACACGGGTTTGTTGCTTCATATAATTAAAAATAATAATAATAATAATAATAATAATAATAATAATAATAATAATAATAATAATAAAGGTATGTGTACTTGTGTCTACTGAATACCGACCACTGAAAATTTTCAAAAAAATCGTAATTCTGTAAGATTTGTAAAATAAAATGAAGCGTTTGAAACTGGATTATTATTATTATAATCAAGGGGGAAGCGCTAAACCCGGAGGATTATACAGCGCCTGGAAGGGGGATGTGGAAGGCATTCAGACTTAATTCAGGGAACTGGAGCACAGATCCAATTCCCTAAATCAAGAGCCCCTCACCAACATCAAGGAACCTTCCTTGAGGGGTTAATTGGGGGAACTGGAGCACAGATCCAATTCCCTAAATCAAGAGCCCCTCACCAACATCAAGGAACGTTCCTTGAGGGGTTTGAAACTGGAGAGAATCTAAAAAGGTGGAGAAAGTAAGCAGTGAGTAGTGACTAGGAGTCCTTGAATACACTTTCTATAGGAATCAGGTACACAAACCACGGAACGGGTGGGGTTTGCAATCGTTTTACTGCGATTTCGTGAGTCAATCAGGTACATATTACTAGGGGTCGTACAGCGCATGGAGAATACGAGGCGATCTGATTGGAGGACATTGTTACCATGGAAACGCTATCTGACTGAATGGGATGGTAACTACAATACCTGGGATCAAGATTCTTAGCCCAGCATCAAGGTATTCGATACTTCTCCCTACTGAAGTGATATTTACCCGGGGATAGATAGTGTGGATACTTCGTCTAAGGATACGTGCACTTCACATAGAAGTTCCTTAATCATACGATAACTGTTCTATTTGTGATGGGAAGCTTGTGGTTCACTGGTTCACTGGTTCACTGGTTCACTGGTTCACTGGTTCACTGATGTCTCTTGTTACTGTAGTTCAGGGATTCTCAACTTTCCCTCCCCTCAAGGAAGGTTCCTTGATGTTGGTGAGGGGCTCTTGATTTAGGGAATTGGATCTGTGCTCCAGTTCCCCGAATTAAGCCTGAATGCCTTCCACATCCCCCCCCCAGGCGCTGTATAATCCTCCGGGTTTAACGCTTCCCCCTTGATTATAATAATAATCAACTTTCCCTGCATCATTAACCCCTTCGGCTTATTGTATTTCTCCATTTATCCCCTTACATACAACAAATTTAACGCCATCATAGAGGGACAGATAAACAAGGTCAAAAAAATAAATTATTCAGGGTTTATATATCAATTATTTACCCCTTGCCCTATAATTTTTTACCCCCAGGGGTTAAATTTACCCCTGGTTGAGAATCACCGCTGTAGTTGCTTAAGACAAGGACATAGACAAAGACACTAATTTATTTTTATGTGATTTAATGTTTATACACAGATGGGTGTGACAGTTGTGCCTGCAGAAAACCTATTGTTATGTAGAGCATTTCGGGCTGCCTCCTCTCTACTCGACTGAAGAAGCCTATTGTGCAGGCGATACGTTTCGGACCATACCACGGGTGGGGTTAGAACCCCCGATCGCAGAGTCACAAAACGCCAGACTGACGCTTTAGCCACTTGGCCAGCTAGCTTCAAATTACGTTTCGGAATAAAGTTACCTAACTGTTCCACATGTATCTTATCGTCATACCCATTCGACTATTGCATTCTTCTTGCAGATATATTGCAGAAACGGAAGAAACTGGTTGCACTGCGCACAGGTAACCAAACAAAAGAGTAACTACTATTCGTAAAATATGTACTCCTTATACATTTCGATACGCAAGATTAACATTTCGCTCGTATTTAACGATAGTAACATAACAGGATCTAAAAATACGCAGACGTGACGCATTATCTTCTTCGAGGTTCTCTGATTGGAGTAACTCCAGGATTGGATTAAAAAAAAAATCCTGTCAGGGTGAGCCGTAGAGAACATGGCTTAGTAGGTAGCGTCCTCAGCTCTCGTACACACACACACACACACACACACACACACACACACACACACACACACACACACACACACACACACACACCGAGGAAGAAGTGAAGAGGCTTCTGAGTGAGCTAGATACCTCAAAGGCAATGGGGCCAGATAACATCTCCCCATGGGTATTGAGAGAGGGAGCAGAGGCGCTATGTGTACCCCTAACAACAATATTCAATACATCTATCGAAACAGGGAGATTGCCTGAGGCATGGAAGACAGCAAATGTAGTCCCAATCTTTAAAAAAGGAGACAGACATGAAGCATTAAACTACAGACCAGTCTCACTGACATGTATAGTATGCAAAATCATGGAGAAGATTATCAGGAGAAGAGTGGTGGAGCACCTAGAAAGGAATGATCTCATCAACAGCATCCAACATGGTTTCAGGGACGGGAAATCCTGTGTCACAAACCTACTGGAGTTCTTTGACATGGTGACAGCAGTAAGACAAGAGAGAGAGGGGTGGGTGGATTGCATTTTCTTGGACTGCAAGAAGGCGTTTGACACAGTTCCACACAAGAAATTGGTGCAAAAACTGGAGGACCAAGCAGGGATAACAGGGAAGGCACTACAATGGATCAGGGAATACTTGTCAGGAAGACAGCAGCGAGTCATGGTACGTGGCGAGGTGTCAGAGTGGGCACCTGTGACCAGCGGGGTCCCGCAGGGGTCAGTCTAGGACCAGTGCTGTTTCTGGTATTTGTGAACGACATGACGGAAGGAATAGAGTCTGAGGTGTCCCTGTTTGCAGATGACGTGAAGTTGATGAGAAGAATTCACTCGATCGAAGACCAGGCAGAACTACAAAGGGATCTGGACAAGCTGCAGACCTGGTCCAGCAATTGGCTCCTGGAGTTCAATCCCACAAGTGCAAAGTCATGAAGATTGGGGAAGGGCAAAGAAGGCCGCAGACGGAGTACAGTCTAGGGGGTCAGAGACTACAAACCCTCACTCAAGGAAAAAGATCTTGGGGTGAGTTATAACACCAGGCACATCTCCTGAAGCGCACATCAACCAAATAACTGCTGCAGCATATGGGCGCCTAGCAAACCTCAGAACAGCATTCCGACATCTTAATAAGGAATCATTCAGGACCCTGTACACCGTGTATGTTAGGCCATATTGAGTATGCGGCACCAGTTTGGAACCCACACCTAGCCAAGCACGTGAAGAACTAGAGAAAGTGCAAAGGTTTCCCAACAAGACTAGTCCCAGAGCTAAGAGGTATGTCCTACGAGGAGAGGTTAAGGGAAATCAACCTGACGACACTGGAGGACAGGAGAGATAGGGGGGACATGATAACGACATACAAAATACTGAGAGGAATTGACAAGGTGGACAAAGACAGGATGTTCCAGAGATTGGACACAGTAACAAGGGGACACAGTTGGAAGCTGAAGACACAGATGAATCACAGGATGTTAGGAAGTATTTCTTCAGCCACAGAGTAGTCAGTAAGTGGAATAGTTTGGGAAGCGATGTAGTGGAGGCAGGATCCATACATAGCTTTAAGCAGGGGTTTATGATAAAGCTCACGGCTCAGGGAGAGTGACCTAGTAGCGATCAGTGAAGAGGCGGGGCCAGGAGCTCGGACTCGACCCCCGCAACCTCAACTAGGTGAGTACAACTAGGTGAGTACACACACACACACACACACACACACAGACACACGTTCCGATACCTCAGTAAGGATTCGTTTAAGACTCTGTATACCATTTACGTCAGGCCCATACTGGAGTATGCAGCACCAGTTTGGAATCCACACCTAGTCAAGCACGTCAAGAAATTAGAGAAAGTGCAAAGGTTTGCAACAAGACTAGTCCCAGAGCTACGGGGATTGTCCTACGAAGAAAGGTTGAGGGAAATCGGCCTGACGACACTGGAGGACAGGAGGGTCAGGGGAGATATGATAACGACATATAAAATACTGCGCGGAATAGACAAGGTGGACAAAGAAGGGATGTTCCAGAGAAGGGACACAGAAACAAGGGGTCACAATTGGAAGATGAGGATTCAGATGAATCAAAGGGATTTTAGGAAGTATTTCTTCAGTCATAGAGTTGTCAGGCCGTGGAATAGCCTAGAAAGTGATGTAGTGGAGGCGGGAACCATACATAGTTTTAAGGCGAGGTATGATTAAGCTCATGGGGCAGGGAGAGAGAGGACCCAGTAGCAATCAGCGAAGATGCGGGGCCAGGAGCTATGAATCGACCCCTGCAACCACAAATAGGTGAGTACAAATAGGCGAGTACACACACACACACACACACACACACAGTCACAGAGTAGTAAGGAAGTGGAATAGTTTGGGAAGCGATGTAGTGGAGGCAGGATACATACATAGCTTTAAGCAGAGGTATGATAAAGCTCATGGTTCAGGGAGAGTGACCCAGTAGTGACCACTGAAGAGGCGGGGCCAGGAGCTATGACTCGACCCCTGCAACCACATATAGGTGAGTACACACACACACACACACACACACACACACACACACACACACACACACACTCACACACACACACACAACACACACACACACTCACACACACACACACACACACACACACTCACACACTCACACACACACACACACTCACACACACACACACACACTACACACACACACACACACACACACACACACACACACACACCACACACACACACACACACACACACACTCACACACACACTCACACACACACACACACTCACACACACACACACACACACACACACACACACACAACCACACTCACACACACACACACACTCACACACACACACACACACACACTCACACACACACACACACACACACTCACACACACACACACACACACTCACACACACACACACACACACACACACACACACACACACACACACACACACACAAGTTAACTTCCGGTTTATATTTTCCTGGACTTTCCATACAATTTTTTAAAATATGTAAAGTATTTAAAATATATATGTGCTAAATCATTTTTATTTACATATCTTAGTTACGTGATGTTGTGTGGAATAACGTTATTGAATGAGTCTTTTCCCTGTTGCAGAATGTTGAGAATGTGTAGAATGTTGAGTGGAGTTCATGTTTTTGTTTTTCCAATATACTTGATAAAGTCCATCTCTGGGCGAAACGTAACAAAAGTAAAGCTTAAAACCTATCGACTAAACGAGGAC